TGGGTTTTGTTAGGGGTTCTTTGAAGGTAAATGAAAATAGCTGAAGACCTACTTCTGTAGTGGATTAGAATGTTTCTATTGTCACACTTACCAGTTTCTCTGATTTTTACTTGTTTCTTTGTGGGATACAGCTAGACCCTGTCTTTCACGTATGTAAGGAATTTTGTGACTTTTGTATGCTGTTATGTTTGAAGGATGGTGAAACTATTATCTTTATTTCTAGAAAAAATGTAGAAGACTTCACTGGACCTAGAGAAAGAAGTGATCTGGGATTCATTACATTTGATATAACTGCTGATATCCTTTTTAGCAAATATTTCATTGCTCTTTCTCTAGTATTACAATGATATACATATTTAGTGATTTGGGGGACAGTAAGTATGTTTATCCATTGAATCAGTCAGACCTTGGAAATTTCTATGCCTGTGTTTTCATCAGTATAGTCTGTTAGTACCTCCTCGTTCAACCTTGAGAAAACTTGTATTTATAGATTGATGAGTTATTATTGTGTGAACACACTTTAAATTCTTCACAGAAACATTAAATAGATCTAAAGCTATAAGAGAGTTTGAATTTGTATTTAGGAAAGAAAATAAAATTAGATCATTTAGATTAAAGACGGAAGAATGTAACCACTACTCAGCCTACCTAGATGTAACGTTTCATGTACAATCCCCAAGAATATGTCCATGTTTTGTGATAGCAGAGAGAAACCTATGTTGAAAAAGTGAATTGCATCTGCTGTGATTCAGAAGGTCATTGTCAAATGATTATTGGTAAACCATATTAGCATTTTGCCGTTATCGTTCTTTTTATAAGTACTTTTATAATAAGAGTCAGAGAAATCGTAACAATTAAAAGAGTTATTTAAAATGGACGTGATTTAAATATTTTCTCTTTATTTTGAATTTCCACCTTTTGACACCTCTGATCACTGGGCCAGTTTAATCTTCTGTTAGGGTCTTAGATTACTATCTTGGCAGCATTGTTACCTGCCACTTCTGGGATCTCATCTGCCTTTTTAAGACCCCAGGATTAAAGTTGGTTATGGATATTGAACTGTCTGACCTTGTGTAAAGCAACTATCTGAACAGTGGAAGCAGATTATCTACCTGGGGAGTTTACCTGACATGTCTCTTTACTAGCCTGGAATTACTTTTAACTTGACTTTTTTAGAAATAAATTACTAGGTTTAGAAGTAGACTAGGAATTAGTTCTGTAGGCACTTTTTTAGGAAATAGAGTACACCATCAGAAAAGTCCTGTGTTAAACTTTTGCTTTTAAGTCTTCATCTCTTTAAAAAAAAAAAAAAAAAAA